AAGAATTTCATAAACAAGATAATATAACTACTCCAGAGATGAATGAATTACATGATGAAATAGCTTAAAATTTGATGAGATCTTGAGATTGATATTTTTATTGGCTTAACAACAAAATAAAGATTAATTAATTAGATAGTTTATTTAACATTATTGGTTATTGATTGAGGTGCTTTTTGTTTTAATTTTTAATTTTTAATTTTTATTTTTATGTGTTTTTGTATATTCATAATTGCATTTTCTTTAATGACTTTTTTTAGCTGAATTTAATAAATTTTGTTAATTTATGGCTTAAAAAATAATGAATATTGTATTATAATTTTAAAATAAGAAATCAATTATCTACTAAAAATATAATAATTAGTGTTTAATTCATGTATTATTATTAATAAAATTAATCCTTTAATGACAGGAAATATAAAAAGATAAATTAACAAAATTAATTATTTTTAAATTTGTCCTTATTAGTCATTTAACACTAAACATCAATCGCTAATAAATAAATAACCAAATGGTTATTCTCATTAACACATTCTAACCACTATCTACTACTTGTAATCCACTATCTACTACTTGTAATCCACTATCCGCTACTCATTAACTGCTATCTGCTACCCACAACCCATTATTCGTTATTTGTGATATGTTGAATTTTAATTACTATATCAAACAGGTCCTTGATTTAGATTGAAAACAATAATTTTTTGGTTTAAGTACCATTTTGGTCCCTCAACTTTTCACTTTGGCACCAAAATTGTCCCTAAGCTTTAAAAAGTACCAAAATTATCCTCAGACTTTCATTTTTGGTACCAAAATGGTCATTCTGTCATTTAAATGATAGGTGGCACATTAAAATGCGAGCAAATCAATTCTATTTTTTCTTAAGTAATGACATGGAAAAAAAAAAACATAGTTGGTATTTTTTTTTATGAGTTTACATTTTCATTTAATCTTAAAATAATAATTCTTTTTTTTTCACCCACATCAGATTTCTTTTTCTTCTTTCATTTTCTCTCTCCTTTACCTTTCCTTTTCTCTTGCCTCTGCAAACCCAGGCCTTGGGTTTTCTCATATGACCAAAAGCAAATGATGATCGTTATCATTGACAATAGCGAGCACAGCGCCAACGCGCTTGATACCTCTGCAAACCTAGGCCAAACCTTCTGCTAGTACTACTGTCGACCTTTTTCTTCTTCTCTCAAACCCAGATCAGCCCGAGAAGATGATAGGTTCGTAGCTGTGACTTGTGTCATCAAATCCAAAATTGTCCTTCTTCTTCTTAAAGAAAAGCAAAATAGATTAAGGAATGATATTTTAACAAGTCTGGACCTTCTTCTTCTTAGTCTTGGTGGTCGCAGTAGTGGAAAGGGAAGGGAAATCCGTGAGTTGCTTAGTGGGAAGGGCAGGGTTTGGTTTGTCCTTCAACTGTTGGAGTTCGACTTCATGTTCTTCAGCGTCGAGTGCCCAAGTGCCAGGCTTGCCCCATGGAGATGAGATTGCCGCCATTGTCAATTCGTTATAAGCTTTCACCTTGGGTTTGATTCTGTCTGCTTTGAGTTTGCATTTGTTAGAAGCAGGAACGGCTTGAGAGAGAACCCAAAATGGCCCCTCTACAAACCCAGATTTCTTCTGTATTTACCTCCCTCTCTGATTTATCTCTTACTCATTATTTTGAACTCTCAGCCATAATGCCGATTTGATTTCAATTCAACGTTTCTTGCAATTTCACAGCTTGATTTTCGATTTTTAATCCCCATTGTTGCATATTGAGAGCTTTCGTTGAAGCAGGTAGCAAGATTTGATTTTTGGTTAAATGCTTAATTTGGTCCCTCAACTTTAAGAAATGAACATTTTTGGTCTCTCAACAATTTTTTTGCACTTTTTTGATCCCTCAACTATACGAAATGCACTCCGTTAGTCCTTCTGTTAATTTGAGCCCTTAACCCTACTTAGGTGGCATTTTTTATATTTTTTTTGATGATGTGGAAAGCAAAACTTGAATAAGTGATGACATGCCATTAAACTTTTGCCATGTCACATGCTACCTGGCAAAAACGCACCAAATCCATCTAATGGGTCCCACATCACCACTAACAATTGCTCCTTTGGCCATCGGTTACTGTTTCTATTCTTTCCGGTGTTTCTTCCATTTTCAAGATTTTTCGATGTTTTTTCCATTTTTAAGATT